CATTTTTCCTCTCCCCCCTTCGGACATCCTAAGACATTTTTCCTCCCCCTTCGGACAGCAAAAATTTCCTCCGTGGAGGGGGGGGGGGGTATGGATCTTTTCTGGAACGACCATTAACATTTCACTGACTTTGTGGGGTAGGGTTGATGAATTTCTCTGGGGGGAATGGTGTGTGCACTTAACCACAAAATCCCACTTTGACCTTCAACACAATTATAGTTGCCTCAAGAAAACACTAGTTCCCAGGTCTTTCCAATGTCTGGCTAAAGGGGGGAGATATCCAGACATCTTGTGGTTGCCTGAATGTTAGATTTTTAAGATTTTTAGTCGTACCTGACTGGTACACCAATGGTTATTGCCACGCACTGACGCTAGTTCAAGCTCAATACTCAATGTGAACCTACTCTTTAAAATAAATCAACATTCCTTAGTCAGTGCATTCATGTTTCATGCCAAGACATGTAAGACTTACACATATACCAACGGACCTTTCCCCTTATAACTAAAATTTCGATCTAGACAAAAATTTCATCACAGCTTGAAAGAGCATCACAAAATTAGTAATATTCCAAAGTTTTGTTGCAAAATCTTGTAAAATGCGAATAATATAGCCTTGCGAAGTTTGCCGTTTTTCAGTCATTTTGTATTACAAACGGGAAATTGACATACGATTCGGGTGTTGGGACTGCAATTTCCCGTTTGTAATGCAAAATGACTGAAAATTGCAAACTTCGCAAGGCTCTATTTTCCTCATTTAACAACATTTCGCAACGAAACTTTGGAATATTACTAATTTTGTGATGCTCTTTCAAGCTGTGATGGAATTTTTGTCTAGACTTGCCTAGATCAAAATTTTGGGTATAAGGGGAAAGGTCTACTAAGTTACGATTTTGAATAACTTGGGCTAGGAATGGTCAAAAAGTAAGTACGCAGATAGCAAAAGTTCCGCGTACCTACGTGGTACGTTGGTCGTACCTCCGGTTGGTCGGACCTCAAGTGTAGGAGGATATAAATTCATATAATGTATAGGGATGGATTCATTTTGGTCTTGTAAGAGAGAGCAGTGCTGAGCAGCAACTGGTAATGTATCATCCTTGTGGAAGCTACATCAGTGGTCCAGGGCGCGAAATAACGGCCGGTCAACGGACAATGTCCGGCCAGAATGCGGAATTGTCCGGTCAAATCTTACCTTGCCGGTCATTTTGACTGGTTACTTTCGGTAAAAGAACAAACTAATCTTCATTTTATAATAATAGTCAAAATAAAGTGGTCAAGTACAGTATTTTATTATATAAAGTATAGTGCTTTATAGAGATTTCGAGCACTGATAAAAGTGATAATCTCACATGTGAGATTATTCATGATAATCTCACATGTGAAAATTATCGCTTTTCAATTATCGCTTTTCTGTAAAAATTATCGCTTTTCAAAGACTGTCCTTTATATAATAGACAGAAAAATACATGGGTGCTTGGAAATACCAGATTTATTTCTCGTGTTGAACATGATATCTCACTCGTTCGCTGCGCTCACTCGTGTGATATCATGTCCAACACTCGAAATAAATCTGGTATTTCCGCGCACCCATGTATTATTCTCTATATAATTAAGAACCATAACGTGCATGTTGTCGAATATTTTGCAGGAAAACAACTCCAATGTACACCAGTTTTCGCACGCAGTACGGTCACAAAGCCCATGGGCCATGGCCATGCCTTTGGCTTAAGAGCTAAGACCATGCTTTTAGTCCAGTACAAGCTGTTTTATGTGAAGGAATTTTTAATTACTGATTACAGTAAGGCTTTTTGTACTGCTATACTGGGAAAATGGTCACATTTTTAGGGGTATACTTTACTAGGCTTTGCTTTAAGCTGAATAATTTGACCGGCCAGAAATTCGGTATGTCCGAGCTAAAATTGAGTTGGCCGGTCACCTTGACCGCCGACCCTCCAGCCGTTATTTCGCGCCCTGGTGGTCTGGGGAAACAGTTCATGCGAGGATCCAAAGCTTGAGTGGTTCTTATATTGGGGTAGGGGGATCTTAGATTGGCATGAACCCATCAGGGGAGTTTTGAAAGACAGGTTTGCCCAGATTGGCAGGGAGGACCATGTTATCTCATGTTCTCAGATTAAAAGGGACAATGGAACTTTACTAGCTGTAGTAGGGCATTCAAATTCCATAAAAATTGGGCGAAGTCCAACCTCGTTCCCAGGAAGAGCCTGGGAACGAGGTTGGGCGAAGTCCTGCATTTGGAACAAGAAAACCATTAATGCTTTTAGTGGCTTTAATTGCCAGGGTGTGATAATTCAAGTACTTTAGCTGGTACAATTGCACATATATGCAGACACTACAATCGCCTCCAACATTCCTTAGTTCCACTAGTCCAATCATGTTTCATGCAAAGATATGATATCTGGACTTACAACTACAGTATACCAACTTAATTACGGTTTTGGGAATACCTTGGGCTGTGGGAAATCATATGGTACCGGCAAAAAGCAAATACGCAGATCTTTCTAGCGAAAATACCACATGCATGCCTACGTAGTATTTGGCTGAAAAAAAGAAGTACACCAGACCGCAATATTGGCGTTCCTCCAGTACGTGTTAAAGTACTCGATTAATCGCTCCCCAAATTGTCAGTACTGAATATGACCGATTCTATGTTCATTTTATCTTAAGGTATGTTCATGGTGAATGTTAAATTTTTATCCGCCAAAGGAACAGTATTGAAAAGCTCCTCGCGCTCTGTAAGTATTATTCCGTGCTATCCATGATTATATATGTGAACAAGCCTTTTTATAACTTATATAAAACAACAAATATAAAATATGCTAATGGCTTAGATTAAGCGGAGTGTGACTTAAATGTCACATTCCTGGTAAACCCGATCTCAAAAAATTCTTGGAGACAATTTTTAACTATGAAGGTTTTTAGCGGACAAAATATCTGAAATGTATCAATCGAGTTTATGTGCTATAAATTGATGTTGTGTGCTATACATTGATGTTATGTGCAAATACATCAATGTCATAAACGTACCGATACAACTAAAAGATAAACCGATACAACTAAAAGATAAACCGATGCAACTAAAAGATAAACCGATACAACTAAAAGATGAGGAAGCGGAAGTAAATGCAACTAAAAGATGAGGAAGCGGAAGTAAATCGGGAAAATGAAAGTAGAGCAACGCGCCGACATACAACAATGGCGTCTCTTGGACCACGTATTTGGCTTCCTACAGAAAACTTTTTTCGTGAATTGGTTGATTTAATAAGAAATGCTGAACAAAGTCGCACTCATTGTGACTCGCCAGACTTTTATTGTCATAGATTACTGTAGAAGAATATGAACGCACATTTATAAGTGTTTTAAGAACAAGAATACCAGCTCATACCCAACGGAGCAGTTTTTAATCAACAATCTATATATACTATGCACTTATTTAAATAGTTTGCGAAATAAATTCGACAAAATTGTTGAAAATTATGAAAGGACCTCACAGCGCTTTTCACTAGAAGAGTCTCACGACCGTGCGGTTTGTATCTGCGAAGAATGCTGTAAATTAGTCAACGGCGTACGCGCAATCTCGTTCCCCGAGCCTGCGATCCTCGAGAAGGTCGGTGAGGCTCTGGGATAATCCGTTGCCGGAAGCCAGGAATCCTGGCTAAGATTGAACTGCGCATTCCATTTCAACGGCCAATCAGATTCCTCCTTGAACAGGGCCCGCGGAGCGTATTAGAGAGTGGGGGGGCTAAAGGGTGAGGTTTAATTAATTTAGAAAGTTTCATTTAGATTTCTATTTTAATAATTTTGGCTGTCAAAAAAAGTGGGGGGGCTAAAGCCCCCCCAGCCCCCCCGTCTCCGCGGTCCCTGCTGAAACGGATTATCCCAGAGCCTCACGTTCCTTCCCGAGGTTCGCAGAGTCGGGGAACGAAATTGGGCGTACGCGCACAATTCTGAACTCCAAGGGTAGAGTGCTCCAGTGACATATTCAGTTCAGTTTCAAAATGGCGGCTTTTCACTGAGCGATCCGATATATTTCACACAGTTTCGTTGAATTTTCAAAGAACTGTGCCGGTTTCCTATGGATTTTACGTTGTGTCGCACTCTGGACTCTCTTGCGTGTTGAATTAATGTGTTTTTCTTTTTGTAACGAGTCGAAAATCCCAAAATTTGGATCCAGCGAATTTATACAATATATAGTGGAATATAAACAAGAACAAGTTAAATAAAGGTTTGACAGTTTGAATCCTAAACAACTATGAATATACGTTGTAGACTCATAAACATCCGTTGTGCACTTGTGTTCATTTGCATAATTATAGATTTGCACCTAATTACATTAACTTGCACCAAATTACTTTCCATTTTATCATATATTACTATAAAAGTGTATTTTTTCGATTGTATTCAGCGAGGTGGTGTTGCGTGCGGCGACGTGAATCGTGGTACGGTTCGATTTGTTTTTGGAACAAGATCCAACTTTTCCCCCCACTTTTTTAATTCTCAAATTGTTTATTAGACGTTTACTGGTTGAGGTTAGAGAAGGGCTTGGGATTAGGATAAGTTTATCTTATAAATGGAAGCAAATTGGCGTATTTTTTAGAAGAATCGTCTATGTCTATGAACTTTTTAGCACCTGAAACGAACCATATAATGGCATTAAAAATCAAGGACTATATAATTTCTTCGCTATTATTGGCCCATCATTATTTACGGTTGATAGTTGATGATCATAGTTGCAGTGGGCCTGGCTTGCCAGATTGAGTTGCCCGTAGCCGGAGGGTACGTCTGAGCCGGCGTCTTCGTATATTATGGTTGATAGTTGCTGATCATGATTGTGTTTATTGGTTGTATTTATATGGTCCAGACCTCCTGTATCCCTATCTACTTCTCTGCTACACATTACACCCTACCAGGAAAGTTACCATTTTCAGGCTAGTGTGAACGCCTGATCAGGCGTCTTGTTCAACATACAGTATATTCACTTGGCGCCTCTGGCTCGGCACGCGCGATTTTGCCGAATAGATCTACTTCCGTTTTTCCAATTTACTTCCGCTTCCTCATCTTTTAGTTGTATTTACTTCCGCTCCCTCATCTTTCAATTGTATCGGTTTATGACAATGACGTATAGCATAACATCAATTTATAGCGCATGAACTCGATTGATGCATTTCAGATATTTTGTCCGCTAAAAAACTTCATGTTTAACTGAGACAGTTGACCAAATATTCTTAGACAACTTGTAAATAGGTTGTAAAGAAGTCTAAAGGAAGTATTACTCAACGCAAAACCTCATATGCAAAATAATTTTTCCCTTTCCAGTGTATATTACATTATGAATCAAGTCTGGTGAGATTGTTCAGGACAATATTTTACTCTCTTCCTCTTACAATTGGAATAACTGAAGAAAAACAGAAAGTAGAGCTGAATTTCTTTGACGACTACATTGATGATTCCGTAAGTAGAATGAAGTTAAGTGAAATTGCTTGACAGTACTCATAACCTTAGCCAGCATGCCGCTTGGCGATTTCAATGGACGGCCATTATAGCATTTGGACGTCCACTTGAAAAAGACGGATTTTCAACGCTTATTATCTTACTAACGCATTCTGGGGGATGTAAGAATCTCCAGATTATATACCGTACCCGATGGCTTCAATTGGCAAAATAGTGCATGTAGCAAGCAATCATACATAACATGTCCTTAAATTTTACAATCTAATGTTTTGTCATTGTTTCTGTCATTGCCTGGGAACGTTTATTTTTATCTCTATCAATCATTGACAATCAAATTCAAGGCAATTCCAATCAAATAGTTCATTTGGCTAACAATGGAAAGTGAATTTCTCACGCAAGTTAATTCTTAAAATTTTATCTGCGATTCGATAAATGGTTGTTATTCTTTAATTTTTTCCCAAAATTCGTATCAACCATGGTAATCACTGCATGCCGCCTTATAGAGTACTTCAAGACTAACAGCTTTACATAGTATAACTATATAGTACCATGTACAGTGTTTTCTTTGAGAAATTAAATCTTAAAAATACCAAAGTTTGTCGGCTACACTGAGCAAAGAAGTTTGACTGTAGCCTCATTTTGCTGCTTTTTGCACATTACAAAGGGCTATAATTTCGCTTGCATGGATTGCATGTTTTCAGTTTTAAACTCTTACACTTTACACTTAACTTTAAATAACAGTGCCTGATAAGAAATTGTTTATTAGCCTGGTAATGCATAAAATAAATTATGCAATAATGCAAAATTGTGGCGGCTAGTTTTCGAATCCGTCAACAAGCCATCAAAAATATACAGCAATAGTATATGCAAAATTGCAAGAGAATACGTCTTTAAGCCGATTACAGACGAGCAAGTTTTCATGACAAGTTTTATTTGCTCGTCAAACTTTGCTAATTTTTGCTATATATGACAATTAATAAATACTGCATGGCACGTAATTTGAGCACTCTAAGTCAGCGATCTGTTGTAGTAATAGCCAATACTAGCTATATATCGTGGCAGTCAGATAACCAAAAACTTGTCATAGAAAATTTGCTGTACATACACTGTCACGTGAAATTGAAAAATAAAACTTGCCATATATGAAAACTTGTCATAGAAAACTTACTTGTCTGTAACCGGCTTTATACGCCCCCAAAGAGATTTATAGCCGCGTAAACTGTAAGTTGAATGCTTAATTCCAAATGTAGACGCCCAAATTCCAGATCTTGGATAAGATCCTGACTCTGCTTTAACCTAAAATTACCATAACAAAATTGGAAAAGAAACTATCTTTATCAGTTCTTAACTGTTTTCCCTACTAGAGCCTATATATGCGATTAAAAGTGATGAACCAGGCGGGAATCCTAACCGCATTATGAAGATTAATGCCCAGCATAACGTACGCATGAACGCTATTTAGACATGAAATATAGTTATAATGTTTTATTGAAAATAGAGTTTTATTTTTTTCTTTCCTATTTCAGTACAATCCCGCAGTTCAAGCGAAGGTTGTGATTATGACAAAACAAGTTGAAATTTACTCATCCACTTTGCGCCTTCAAGCTTCATTTACAGGGCTCAGGTAAACATTAAGCTTTGTAGCATGTATCTATACATCGTCAATTTTTTGGGCAATGTACAAAGCAGGTGGTTAATTAAGGCTACAGACGCGTTTATTTGGATGCTTTTTGTGGGAAATGAGTTGTTAATGACTTCCTATGAGGCGAACATACTACAATCCTTGTAATAATTATAGTGGACAGCGCGTGTGCGTAGATAAAAATACACGATTTGCGGCAAAGATACCAACATGTGTATATAGAATCACATGCATACAGCAACCCCTCGTCTATATTTGTCAAACATTTATTTAACATGAAGTGTTTCAAGTGTTGCCATGACAACACGATAATTTTATATTTTTTATTACTTTTAACTACACAATAATGAATTTTGGAAATATGTACCGTGGGTATGTTATTTTCAAAATTAAACATTCAAAGCAATTCTGTCCTATACTTCACGATTTCCCATAGTAAATCAATTCTTCTCATTCCAGCAAACAAAAATTAAAAATTGCTACAAAGCTCATTGTATGAAACGATTTTTCGGGTATATGTGTTTGAAAATTGAAATCTTGCTTATCCCACTCCTGCCAAACAGCCATACTTTGAGATCATTGAGAAGGTCCACCCACGAAACCGACGCGACGGAAGAGGTAATTTCGCTGGCCTCAAAGTGACGAAACGTAACAAATAAAGCAACGGTTTTACTAACACTAACCCTATTCCAAACACCAACTCTAACCCTGATCCTAACCCTACTCCAAGTTTGTTTCTAAACCAATCTTGAAGAAAAACGTTTTGACGAAATGTCAGGTCAGCGAAATAACTTCCAGACGGCTCGTGTTGGCTCGGAGATGAACAGTGATATATTTTAGTTTACAGCTAAGTGTCCACAAAATTTTTGCTATGATTGTATATCCGTTGCTGGGATTAATAGATACCAACTTTTTCTGGAGATGGTGCTGAAAAGCTTTATTTGTGCATCCCCCATACAATCCACCTACAGCCAACATCAAGGAACACGTTTTTTCCCTTGAATGATCTAGCCAACCTAGCTATATACATTAAGCCGTGATGAGCAGTGCGGTATCCAGTACATGCGTCATTCTAACGGGAAAGAGTTAAACATACACTTACAACTAGTTATTCTTGTCTTTCCTAGATATCTCATCTTCAACTGGCCTGTGTTATTTTCATGTGTTTCCATTCTTGGTAATTTCATAATCGTTTCCTTACTTTACTCTGCTTGCGTAAATCAATTTATGCCAAATACAAACACAACAACGAACAGTGCTACACAACAGCAACATGTTACAAACGTCCAACAACAAAGTACCACATCGCAGTTGAGTAACGGACGCACATCCACAGCAGTTACTACCACGCCTGCTGCCGATGTTGAAACAGTCAGTTCAAGTGTTGAAACGGTCAGTTCAAGTGTTGAAACAGTCAGTTCAAGTGTTGAAACAGTAAGTTCAAATGTTGAAACAGTCAGTTCAAATGTTGAAACAGTCAATCCCGCCGTTCTAAGAGCCTCGGAACCAACACAAGAAAACCAACCCTCAACATCATGTGAAGTTAGAAAGCGGCGATATACTCGTATCGCGTCTGTAAAATTAAAATTTCGTAAGAAGCAACCAAGAATATCTCATGTTGGTCAAAGACGAATAAGGAATATTAAAGTTACGAGGCAAGACATTGATGATGTAGTCCATGAATCTTTAAATAATGATGACGCTATGGAAAGCGGTGTGAATCAAGAGACAAAAACATCTAGCAATGTTAATGATGTAAATGATGATTCGACATTTGCTCTCGTTAGAGATTCTGCAAAGATTACTAGTGTGTCATTAGATGGAATTCAAATGGCCAATGGATGTTCACCAGCTAGGGCAAGCCATGTAAGGAAACGTCGAAAGACTGGTGGCGGTGATAAAACAAAAAAGGAAGGGCAATGTAGCAAAAGCACAACGTGGAGAATAACCAGCAATGAATTAGTCAATGATAATTCAGAAAAGAATAAACTAAAAGAAAATGCAAGTGAGAGCATGGAAAATAAGTCTTCAGGTAGAATTGAATCTCGATCGCAAAACCATATGAAGTCATTATGGGAGAACTTTTGCTTTGCAAAAAGCTGGGAAAGTTTTAAATTACCGCGAATACGAAGACTAGGAATGTATTTACAAGAAACAATGCCGTCCGTTTCTCAGAATATTAGACACTGTGTATCTGATCTGGAACTATCCTCCATTGAAGAGAGAAGGTTAAGTGAAGGTGGTAGTCTGAGGAGGTCGGTTAGTGCGAGCGATATATCATTACTGGATGGCAATTCTACGGTAATGAGCGAAATTTGCCAATAATATTGTTTATACAGGTAAATGTAGTATAATGAAAGTTTGTAGGACACTGTTGTAATATATCTTATAAAAACCTATGTATAATGTAAAGTATATCATACCTAATTTTATGAAATTCTAATCACTGCACACTATTGAATAAGCAATATTTGTAGTCTATGGACTGAAAGAACCCTATACCGACGCCCTTTAGATTGACTAAAAATACGTGCCCACTTAAAATATACCAGGATGAATTCCATGTCACTTGATTCACCTCGGAAGAGAAACTTTGAACTCAGTTTGCCACTGAAGTTTGGTCCCCTTTTAACTCAAAAAAAACATTAAAGTAAGTGAGGAAAATTTCCCGAGTTTGCTATTCTTCCCGAGTGGCAGACCATTTTCCCTTTCTTAAATCAGTCAAATGTGGGTGGGGGGAAAGGAAAAGAGGGCTAGACAAGGCCTGACAAATCCCTCTTTCGGGACGCACAACGTCTGCGAGTAGGCTAGGCCGCATGTAAAAAAGCCCAAATCCGGCTTTTCACCTAATTGCTCTATTAGACAAAGACATTTTAAGGTAATTCCGCAGTAATTGTTCCCGAAATGAGAATGTGCTGAAACTTCCCAGGCATGGAGTTTATGATATACTTAAAGTAAAATCACACAAAAAAGTCGGGGTCACCGAACTCGTTAAGAAGATATGACAATCACAATATACCACCTTTACCCCAATATGGCGCCATCTTGACGCTCATTACGAATAACAGCAAACTCACAACAGCCCGATATTTATTGACGTTTTTAGCGCGGATTTTGCTTTAGTAATCCTATCTTGTAATTATTTTTGAAAAATATCGTGTTTTGAGCAAAATGAAACTACTAACGTGTACAATTCTGATCCACAAATGTCTTTTGCACATTTCTTTACACATCTTTCTTTGAGAACATGCATTGTAAAGCTTTTTTTTCAAGATCCAGAAATGATTTTTCTTTTAATTTCGGATATGAAACGTAAAATGCATTAAAGAAATAAATTATCAGTTGGGGGTCACCGATCTTTTTAGGGGATTCTGGCATTAAAACGTGAAGTACAAGTAAATAAATATACTACAGACACAGGAACCCTAGCTACACTTTTGTATGCCTTTTTTGAAAACATTGATTTTAACGTAATTCTTTGCACGAATGTAACCAAAGATGTTTTGAAGTAACATAAAATTGTCATAAAATGATATTTTTTTAAACGGTACGTATAATGGATGAAATTATAAGTTATAGGATGTGCGCAGTAAAAGTGCGCAATGCAAAACTGCGGAATTACCTTAATCTGTCTTTTTGATTGGTTCATGCTAATTGATTAGGGGTGGACCATTAGAAATCCCAGGAGGCGGCGGGGTATAAAATTTTTGCGGCACGATTTTTTTTTCAGTCTCATGTCTCTACACTCTACAGGATTTTGTTTATGCATTTAACCTCTGCAAGAATTTTTTTCAAGACTATTTGCACTATGCTGTTTGCTTGCACGATTTTTTTTTCTCCGACGTAATGGCTGCACGAATTTTTTTCCAGGCATTTATCTTTGCACGAATTTTTTGGGGGGAATTTTCAACCCCCCTCCCGGGATTTCTAATGGCCCGCCCCTTATGATTATATAATTACTTTATGGTTTCCGTGTTTGGATGGCCTGATCCAAACACGCGGGAATGTTGCGAGAGTTAAGAAAAGCGCGCGAAACACGAGCCGAAGGCGAGTGATTTTGCGCGCTTTTCTTAACTCGAGCAACATTCCCAAGTGTTTGGATCAGGCCATCCAAACACGGAAACCATAAAGTAATTGTTTTATAAAATAACAACAAAGTTTAAAATTCCCGCGAAGGCACTTTAGATTTCCGTGTTTGGATGGCCTGATCCAAACACGGGTTTCGACCAATCAGAGCACGCGTTATTTACATGTTATTTTATAATATACTAGTACTATTGTTCATGTTGTCTCGATCTCTATTAGAGTGGTAGCTTTAATAACAGATAGCGGGCGAATTGAGAGATGTAGTTCAATTTTCTTGCATGTGCCTTAGTGTCAATATTGCCGCATGTAGTAAGTCGTAAAATTAATACATTTACAAATATACATGCGGGTTTCGATTTCTTTTTGACAAACTCAAATTTACCTCAATCACAATAGACAACTTGCATGTTAGACTAATTTTTTATTTAGGCAAAAAAAAGTAAATTCCCGTAAAGAACTTATTAAAATCAGTAAAATTGCAAAATTTGGTTACGAAATGTTGTAAAATACAGAAAATATAGCCTTGCGAAGTTTGCATATTTTCAGTATGTTTGTATTACGTGCGGAAATTGGTATCATTTTTGAGCCGAAAATGCAATTTTACTAATTTCATTATTTTCTTTTTAACTGTTGTGTTTTATTCCCTTCTCTTTACTTAGATTAAAGTTTAGTCTAACATGCAAGTTGTCCAATGCAGGTGGTCCATCATCAGGACAGGAAAAAGAATTTTCTTCCTGGGAGCACAACCTGGAGACAAAAATTTCCTGCGGACCAACGGAGTATTTTTGTGCTAAATCTGCATGTGTATGAACATGTAGTGTACTAGTGTTCTAGCTGACCATGGTTTTAAATTCAAGGAATAATGTCCTGGCAACCATATGTTGCACTCATAGTGGGACATGGGTGTTAAGGTTTAATTCCTACAAATTTTCAATAGCAAATCTTCATTACTGCAAAGCTTTCGATCTGTAAGCCCGGATCTTCATCAGTGCTAATAATATGCACTTATCATATTATTAGCACTGATGAAGATCCGGGCTTACGGATCGAAAGCTTTGCAGTAATAACGTGGTGTTTCCACAAACAAAACTATTATATTTTATTTCCATGCAAACATACAAAATAATTTCCTTGCAGCTATTTAACACGTACATGCAGCGCTCTAACACGACTTGTGGTTAGAGAAGTGCACCGAGAGGGCCTTTCTTTTTGTTGTTTTGTTTTAAAAATGCCGATCTCTTCCAAAATAGGTGGGGACACACAGGGTGCGTCCTCTGCGGTGCGTCGGTAGGGGTGCGAGTCTGTTCCAGTAGAACTCCAGTCGTTTTATAGCTCAGTGTTGCTGTTTCGCGCATGATTTCGGCATTCGCGCGAATAAATTTGTTATTCAAAATGGCTGGCGGTGAAGAATGTGAAAGTTTGTTTTCACTTGAAGTTATTGTCGAAACTGTTGAGAATATTTGTGTTTCTTGTTATAAACCTACGATAGCCTTTCGTCTTCTTGATTTTCCGACTGTTGTGATATGCCCAGAACGCCAGGGAGGACTGTCTAGAAACGAAGTATCGTATGAAATTCAATCAGGCAAGTCTTGTTTATTTAAAATGAGTAAAGAAATGCTCTGTGAAAGACTGGAAAACACTCCTCTGTATATTATGTTGGTAGATACCTCTTTTGAAAAGACTAAACTCTTGGCAAGCACAACTATATCTTTGCTGAGTTGCTTTCAAACTATTCTCTCAAATATTGAAAATAATGGGTTAGACGTACCAGCAGTTTCTGGCAGCAAAGGGGAATTTCCAATGTACAATTTAATGGGGTCCCAAGTTGCTACAGTCAATTTAGGGTATAGAATGTTTAGTTTTGGTGTTGGTATGACTGGTCATGTGAATCTTTCACTTTCAAAGCAAATTAAACGAAGCGAAAATATTCTGACCGAGTTACCTTCTCAACAACCTGAAATGGCTGGAAAAGAAAATGGCCAGTTTAAGCAACCATCTTCATCTCATGAAGAGAACGGTGCTACCAGTAACAGAAAACCGGTTATTCCTGACATAGTTGAAGAAAACCGCACTTTACAAACTGATGCTCATACTCAAACTGACAACATCAATACAAAACAGCAAAGTGTAACACCTCCACTCCTATATAATAACCCCGAGTCATTTAGTGTTCACCACCATAAGAATATTTCAAGACCACCACCATTATACTATAACAGTACTTCGACAATCACCAAACCAAGAGTAATGCCCATATCCCTGGGAAGGTTGGTTAATTCCAACAACGATTTGACCAAACTAAGAACACAATCTGCATCAGTGAAAAATCCTAACAAGGAAATTAATTCCAGACCACAATATTGTGATACATCTGTACGAACTTGTGAAATTTCATATAATGTACCCACACAAAGGAACGATGATTCAACTCGGTGTCTAAATGATAACCAATTAAGTCTGCCACTAATTGAAGCATTGCTTAACGAACTATCATTGGTGAGAACAAAATTTGTAGGTAACGATTTACCTCAACAAATTAATGAAGGTAGCACATCCCATTGCAAAAATGAGGAAGTTAAAATTTTTGAGACAGGTCATGTTCTTTCACAAAAAGCACAGCCACAGGATCAGAAAATCAAGAAAATGAAGGTTGCCCATCCACAAACAAAGAAAAGTATACCAACAAGGGCAACTAGTAAAGGTGTATTGATATCAAGACATCCAATCAAATTTAAGAAAAGCTCCCTGAAGTATGGCACAACTAGGACACAGAAGTTACGGGAAGCAATAAACAAGAATATTCACAGTGAACAAAATTTAGAGCAAACAGGCTTTCAGAAGAAAGGAGAATTTTTAAGACAGGATAACAATGTGCAAAACAACAGTGCATTGGAGCAGAAATCAAAGCAGATTTTGAGAGAAAATAAATCAACAATGACACAGAATGACGAGTTGGAATGTAAAGATATTGGCATACAAGTGAAGATAAGTGATGATAAGTTTCCTAGTAGCATACCGAAACATCTGAGTCAGGACTCTTTATTGAATAGTGGTGATTTAAATAATGTTATCCTAGGTATGTACAGTATATTTACTTATTTTTCAATGATTTTTCATATTTATGATTTTCATATAATGATTTTCCATAGTTACTCCTTTAAGTGGCAATGCACCTTGATGTGAATTGCCTTGTTATTTAACTCTGTCTAACCCCAGCAGTGGCAGAAATTTTGCAAATTATTGGGGGTGGGGGAGGGGGGGGGCGGCAATTACTATACCAACATACTGTACATGTATTTTCCTGGAAATCTTAATTCTATTAATTTGAAACCTTTTGGCCTTAATTTTCATGCAATGTATAGCTTAATTTATGGCCTACCATTGCATTCATGGTTCAAACAATGTCACAGTTTTATTGCACAGTTATTTACTAGGATTTTTGAAATTATTGACAGGTATTTCTTCATGTTAGTGCGCCACTGAATGCCAGATGATTTTACTTGTCAAAGGGAGGGTGCTGCCATTCATTGGCAGGGTTATTGTTTGTAATACTTTTGATTCTGTGTGTTGGGGTTGTAACATGATTGCAAAATGTATTGTGTAGCCGAAGAAGCGATCAACTGCTGTTTAACCCACTAATATGCAATCCAACCAATGGCCCCAACTCTATTATTTTACTTAGTTCAATGAACAGACTTGGAAAAGTGTTGAATATTAATGATTAACCAGACTATCTGCCTATCATCTGTTAAACCATTCATCCACATACAATATGCTCTCAATTAGTTGATACAATATATCAATTGCAAGATAAATGCTTAGAGTACTGGCGACCAATACAGTATTTTTGAAATGAGTGAATTTGGATTGAATAGTTATTAACCCTATGGAGTGAAACAGAAAATTAGATTTTGAAACACAATATGGAATTTTAAACTTGTTAAAATTTGCCAAAACCTCGAAATATGGATTGTTCCTTGATCCAGTTGCTACATGAATGACTTAAAATTGCTTACCAACTGAAAGAAAACTGGAGTTTATCCATGTATTTGGTAGTACTGCCGCAGTATTTCAATTGGTAGAGTCAAATTAAATGCGTTTTTTACACCTGTGTGTGTGTGTGTGTGTGTGTGAATAGAATATGTGTTGATTAATCCGGGTGGTCACTACAGGGGGAAATAATGTAAACCTTACCGATTATTCTCTTTTACCCAATGGCCTCGTTTTCATGTCAAATACTTACTCATGTTTTGTGCTTAGCAGGGTTGAAAATTACTTTGTTATTGAGCCTAAGCACAGCAAGAAACAAATTTGTCCAGGAAAACATTAGTAGGAAAACATGGGAATATAATCTTTATCTGCCCCTGACATGCTAAAATAAGTTAACATGGAAACGAGGCCATTGGGTAAAAGAGAATAATCGGTAAGATCTATTGGAGTAAATAATGAATAAAACCTGTGGTATTTGGTAGTTTGCATCTGACTGAGGCGAAATTATAATCAAAGAACTGCATATTCGGAGTTGCAAGCGGAATATTTTTACTTTAACATTCTTAGCTGCATTATTCAATATTATTTCTTACCTTAACTATTCCAAATTAAGATACAGTAGCTGCGGGGGCGTCAAATATTCATTCCAATTTCAAAATATTCATATTTTTACCCTCGATATTCCTACCTCAGACATTCATATTCACAGGCCTTAAAATATCGGTCGGTCACGGACATTGTCCGACCCATTCGTGAAATTGTCCGACGTAGAAAGGAAACCACCGGACATTCTGTCCGAACTAAGTGAAACTGAGGTTTATTGTTTGTCCGACCCAAGTGTATTGGTGTCCGACCGAACTGTAGCTTTGTCAGACGTATAAATCAAAATGTACCCTAGCCCAAGACTAGAGGCTTGTATGTTAAATGGAAAATCACAGTACTATTGTATAAAAGGTCAACTGGAAATGGTTTTTTTTTAACGTAGTCGAGCGCGGGGCGGCGAGCGAAATGATAAAGTGGAAAACGGGCTTAAGTTGTCGAAGTCTTTTTGATACTGCTGTTCTGGAAAACAAGTTAATTTTGGCTTGGAAATAAGTATGAAAGAAACAAATTCTTTAATATCTTTACAACATTTACCGTTTATTCATTTGTGTCATTCAGACTTATTTCCGAGTCAAAACTGAACTGAAGGTCATCGGACATACAGTATGTCCGACCCAAACTCAACGTCACCCGACATTTTGTCAGACGGCCCTGGAAAAGATATTTTAAGGCCTGGTCATATTCCTACCACCGATGTTCATATATTGAAACTACTCCAAATCCTATATTCAATATTCGACTTCCACCCCCGCTGCATATGGCAGACATTGAACCCCCTGTCACATTGTGCCAGCAATACCCTCGATAAGATAGGGTTAATTATTCCTCAGTTCGAAGAAAAAAAACGTGGGCACATATCTAGCGGAAAATCTTACCTTATAAAGAAAACAGTACCAATTCGACTAAACAAAAAAGTGTTATGTTAATGCTAAAACCAACTGATATTAGATAACATACTTCATTATTTTGTATTCAGGAGCGACCTACATTAACGACGCAGTTCCACTCAGTGCTGTGGTCATTACAAATCATGCTGATGACAACACTGATGGATTATTGAGTCACAATGATCTTAGTCCAAACCAACCTTTATTAAGCAATAAACTATTTTCAAATCCTGGTGAGTTACCAACGTTCTCAAATGTATCACCTACAGTTCCAACAGCAAGCAACACGAGATACAGCAACAGTGAGCGATCCAGTAAGGAATCTCAAGAAAAATCTAATTCCTTGGAGAGTAGCTTATCAAATAAAAGTCTAGGTTTGATCACTAGGCCAGTTGGTGAAGTGCACAGTAACAGTGAGAGATCCAGTAATCAGAAATTACCAGACAAGTCTAGTTCCTCAGACGGTGGATTATCAGATGGAAGTCTTGGCTTAGAAAATAAGCCAGCTGTTGAAGCGCGCAGTAACAGTGACAGATCCAGCAGTATTAAAGGATTTCGAAACAAACCTATTTCCTCAGATGGTAGATTGTCAGATGAAATTCTTGGCTTCGAAAATAAGCCACCTGCGCGCAGTAACAGTGAGAGATCCAGTATGGAATCGGCACGGGACAAATCAATTTCTTCAGACAGTAGACTATCAAATAGAAGTCTTGATTTCGTCAGTAAGCCAGTGGGTGACGTATTGTCGATGTCAAGTTATTCTGACAATTTTGAATCTGATGCAAGTGACCATACGCGAGGCAGTAGTGCAAGCTGACCACAGTTATCTTTCAAGTAAGTGCCATTGTAAAAGTTAGTTGTGGTGAAGACCGTGTTGACACGATGCAATTTTTACTGAAACTAGTGTAGCAACGCTTTATTCGTATCGAAGAAAATATCATTTCAGTGAGGCAACAATTACCTTTCGGTACCGTGCCGCCACAACACAAACGGGAATGTTCTGTTTAACTTGTGAAAGTGTGAAACATGCAGGTATATATTAATATATACATAATAAAAGTCCATCCAGTCACTATCCAGTGATCGGAATGTAATTCCATTCTCTTTTCCGTCACTGTTTTGAACATGCCATTATTATATTATAGACCCATTGCACTGACGTCACAAATCCTTAAAGTGTCCTCCAGATGCTCCCGAACAATATCTATTCGGGTACAACAACCACATATAGCGCAAAAACTAACCATTTTAATACAAAATTATTATAAAGTTTTACAAAATTTGCTTTGTTTACAAAAGTTATATTATGCATAGATGACTAATTTGTCCTCCAGATGCATCGTCACCGGCGCTGTGACGTCATGTGCAATGGGTCTATTCCCCATGCATCCAGTAATGATTCAGTCAATGTTCCATTGCCTTTTTAATGTTGTGAAAATCCCAACCTCGTCCCCAGGGCCTTTTGAGGAAAGATGCGAAGGGCAGCTAAGGCCCTGGTAAAGGCTGGTGAAATAATCCACAAATTGTGGATTATTTTGTCACGTGATATATCGTCAATATTGCATAAACACGGAAATCGACAAATAAACAACAAAAATCTATTTTAAAATGACAAAATCTGTTAAAGTTCTTCCAAAAATATTGAATAAATTTGAAATTGTCTTCAAATTAGCTCTGAGAACCTTGGTTGAACTGTAAAGGAGATCTATTAAATAGACAAAGCAACAGTGCAAAACGAATGGATCGATAGAAGTATTTATACTACATATGAATTACTGTCACAACGAAATTGCTGCCTCGATTGTGAAACAGATATGTAAAATCACTTTAATTTAATAATATGGACTCTCAATACACCATATCCATGATCATCAAAACATTTAATAGTTATTGTTGCTACAATAGACCTTTCTTGCAAATGTCAATATCATACAGTATATTTAACAGTTAATTTAAAGGATGTCTGAAAAACAAGGAATGTCAACATCGTATGCACTTGGAACACACTTTTATTGTGAACACACATATAGTGCTTTGGGTTTAGATTTCAAAGGCCAAGCTTCAAAACAAATGTTGTGATCTTAATGATCAGGCATTCCCAAACAATTACATGCATGAGGGTCAAATCAGACAGAAAGCCTCCATATGCGGCTTTATCAAGGCTGAATAATATAATGAGATGGAATTAATTTCCTCATTATACTGTTAACAAGCTCTTGTTTTTGTTTGTAATCAATTACACAAATTACTTCCCAGAACATTATTTAAGGAGATTATTTGACAAGTCAGCAGGTACATTTTTCCTGAGCCACAATTGGGGCAATTCAGTGTCACTCATCACAACAGGTGCTCAAAATCACTCACAACATACAACAGGCAGTTCAGCATCACTCACCACAATTGACTGTTCAATACTGTGTGCCTCAGTAGGCAAATCAATAATCAATATTTTGCTCAGATCGACAACAAATATCAAAATTGAACTCATTCTCAAAACATGATACAATAACAAGGGGTCTCTTATGGACAAATACAAGACACCTGGTGTCAAATGTATCAAGTGACAAGATTATTCATCCTTTTAATTTAAATACATTTTGCCGCCTTGTAATAAAGTACTATTTGTTGTTGGTGACCATCAGTTGAGCAATTTAAAACATTCGCAGTGTATGCTTTATCAGACCTAAAGGTACTTGGCTTCACCTTGTATCTTTATACCTGATAAAACTATAGTACATAAAATAACTATGATATTTAGCCTGAATATTATTATAAATGTATGAAGGATATTATACATATATTCTGTTGATGATCCGATAATCATTTAACATGAAATCCGATAATCATTTAACTATTGAGAATTGTGTGAATTCCTGAATTACTTATTGTTACAGACTGTACTGACCTCTTGCAATTATGGTTATTAACCAAAATCTGACAATGTCTCTAGTTAACCCATTGAGCTGCAATGTGCCCCAGTGTGCCCTACTTACTGAAATTGACTGATTTGTGGTTTATGGGTTTTTTTGTGGCAATTCTTTGGGCATCACAAGTGCATTTGTATATCTTAATACACTGTGAGAATACAAGTATTAGTATTTAAATGACACAATATGATGTAAGTTACCTTTCAGGTATATAATTTGTATACAGCATCAGTGGTGTAACTTAATTAACTTTTTTGACCACTTGCCCTCAGGGCAAGTTGGACATGAAAATTGGTTGCCCTGAATAAAATCCACTTGCCATCAGGCAATGGGGTACCTACGCGGGCCAGTATAAATTAGGGAGACAACATATCCACTCATTGGACTAGTGGCATTGGCTATGTTACTGCCTCAGATCTAGACTACCTCAGATCTAGCTTTGGCTCAAATATTAAACAAAATTTGAATCAAGTACACTTATTTAATTAATGTAACACTAATCACCATTATTTTTTTTTATTAGTTTTACAATAAGAAATTGAAGGCACAGACAACAGGACTAATAAAGTCCCAAATTAAGTCCTGCCATAAATTAAGTCCTGCCATATTTCATTATCATATCATGAATAAACATTTAATAACCAAAAAGAAAATCAATGCATAATATAATCAAACAATTTAGATGAATTTGATGCAGATGATTTGCCAGCTTGAACCAATGTCGTCGAACAGCCTGTATTCTATCCGACAGTAATAATATGAACTGAAAGCTGGCTAGCTTTTTGTGGCAAAGCAACTTCCCCGTTCGGGCAACCAAGAGGAAACTTTTACTTGCCAATCATGATATTCACTTGCCCTGGGCAAGTGTTAAGTTACACCTCTGAGCATAGTAGTTGCCATTTGGCAGCTGTTGGTCTAGTTGAAGTGCTCAGATAATTTGGGGAGACCCATGGCATGCTCTCTCAACAGTGAAGGTTCAAAAACACACATGCCGGAATGCTTATAGAATACCTCGCCATTTTTCCGCATTCATTGACACATAAATAAGTACAAGAATCACTTCAAAATAGTTTAAGGGTAAAGTTTAGAGATTAAATCATATGAGTATGTTAGTTTGGTTCAAATTTGACTGCCCAGGGTTTTTGAAGAATGAGGTAATCATATTAGATCAATTTTGAGTAAATTGACAATGTTTACAAGGAATTAATAGCGGTAAGGTGTGAAAGTTGTGGGTATTGTATAGTTGTATCAAAAAAGTGAAAAACCAAGCTAAAAGCCCCAAGAATACCTGATTGCCACAATGTCAAAGAGCATAGTTGCTGACTAAGAAACATCTATTAGACCATGTACAGTACTTGAGTCTTGTGATAATATCAGTGATATTGCTTTTGTATTATACGATATACTGTAAACTTGCTGTTAACTTATTATATTATTAAATATTCATGGTTGTCAAATATCATAAAATCAACACACAAAATTCACACGCAAAGGTATAAAATAGTGTATATTGGTATAAACGTTTAATAAAAATGCATACATACGTAACCCATGGTCGGCATGGAATTTTGTCACTTGGCACAGTACTTTAATGTTTTTTTAATGTTTGTCCCACATTAAAATATATTGAGTCAATGACAGTGCAACTGTTCATATTAAAACGTTCTAATCACATTTTACATGCACATTTGTATTCAGTAGTAATCTTTTCATAAAGGTACATCAAAGTCCCAAATCAAATTCTTCACTGACAGTAGTGACAGTATGTTATTGACTCCCAAACGACAAATATTATAAAACACGCTTCCAAGCTGAAAATAAATATTTACTGTTGTCAGTCAGTGTTTAGACTCTTCTCTTTGAATCTTGATCTTCCACAAGTATTGCTGTTGATTATATTCCATATTTTTTTGAAGAACATCGCAGACTATATATTTACAGTATTTCCACTGTCAGTTGAAAAGTTTATCATCATAGTTTCAGTCTCTGGTTTCAGTCGCAAAAGGTTAATTCTATCGCCCCTTTGCACGGCCATGTTTGATAAAATCAAAGCGGCCCGCACCCCCGGGTTGAAAAGTTAAATTTCTGAAATATTCAAAATTTGAAGCATCACGTGACCAGCCTTTACCAGGGCCTTTGCTGCTTCGCCTCCTTCCTCAATAGGCCCTGGG